TAATCAGGTCCCCGGTGCATCTACCAACCAAGGAAATGTGAAAGATTAAACCAGTAACTTTGTTTTGTTAAGCCTTTTTCTGCAAGTGTCTGAAAAAAATTAGCGTGTCTGATTTCGCTCCATTGGTGACGTGGCAAAGGGATCTCATTATAATATTACCGCACCTTAATCTGTAAGTTTACACCCAAGGCACCTTCATTGTGTTTTCGCAAGCGACAACGGTGTACCAGCTCTAATGCCACGGCAAAAGTTTGAGCAAAACATGCTAACTGTTCTGTCTTTGGCTGCACAGACGAGCACAGAACACTGTTTACAGTCCCAGCCTCAGAGGAGACAAGAGAGCAGTGGATTTATTGATTTATTTACTGTATATTGCTGCTACCACACAGATCTAAAATAAACATATGTTTTATTTCCCAGCTGTTTACCTTCACAGACATAACCGACTGTTTTTGTAACTCATGTGTGTTTTTAACGTAATCTTGTGTGTGAATGAGAACTTAGTTTAGTGCTCACATGCTGTGACAGCCGCTTTCTGTGTGTGTGCTTTGGATATGTGCTCTCAGAAAACCTTATATCTGAAGTTTAAACTAATATGGTTTAAAATGCATGATTTCAGCGCGATAAACATGATAATCAGAACCAAAACAGGTGTTTTTTTAGCAGGTCCGAGCTGTAATGGCGCAGCTCTATTCTGGAAAAGGGGACGGGAGCAGCAGCTCATTTGCATTTAAAGAAGACAGGCCCGAAAAACAGCGTGTTTCTGCTTTCCTCTCAAAATAAGCATTTTCAAAATTCGATAAACGATCTGTGAAGTATTTTGAGCTGAAATTTCACAGACACATTCTGGGGACACCAGAGGCTTATATTACATATTGTAAAAAGGGGCATAATATGTCTCCTTTAAGATATTTTAAGAGCTTTTAAGTACCACTGGTTTGGACGTATTTGCTTAACGGTTTACACTCATTCACTCTGGTAGTGTGTGTTTGAACATCTCTGTAAAGTTTATATGAAAAATGTCTTGACCCCCTTGTACTGCGTTTAGCTGCTGTCTCCTAGAAAGCAAGCGTTCTCTCCTCTGTTTTATCAGGGAAAGAAGACAAATTACAAACTTCCTGTGCTTGACCAGTGTTTGCTCTGCCTTCCCGAGCCAGGAGTCACAGAGACCGTCGCCAAGATACCACACCACATTGATTGTGGATGCCATGCTATTTCTAGACATATTCTCAGCGTGTCCCACCCAAGACATGAAATGGGGGCAAATGACACACACAAAAAAAAGTTTTTCATGAAGATTTTCGTCTTGTTTTCCATAAACATATCTAATATTTATATCCTTTAACAAAATTTACCATTTGTGGTCATTCTGAGGATTTTGCTTATGTTTGTACTGTATGTATATATAGTGTTGGGTGTAATGCATTACTAAGCAATTAATTACAGTAATTTAATTCCTTTTCTCTTGAAAAAGTAAAGGGATTACTCTTAGTTTCTCTGTAATTTAATTAGTTTTTTAATTATTTAGGTGCTTTTGTTTTTTACTGGAAAACAAAATAAAACACTGACTGAGATTTTAGTTTTTGCATGATTTTGCTGTCCAGACCTGAATACTTGTGATGTTTGCAGTCAGACGTGTTTTCATGATGTGCTTACAGTTTCCGATGACCCAGATTTTCTATCTACACCATCTTTTGCTCTTGTTGAGTTTGACAGGAGCTTCTCCTTATTTATACAGAAGGATGATGATGTGACACTTTAGCCTTCTGTGATTCTGTACGGTTTATGTGTGTAATTTTCTTACTTGGACACTTGTAAAGTTTGCGTGCCTGTGCGATGTCTCCTTTGCTCAGTCTGGTCCTCTGACCAATGGGAGGCCGAACTCCGTTCACATCATATCGAGGCAGAATGGTGTCCAAAAATATCCCTCTGTCAGGAAAAAAGACATGACTTCAATCAAAATGAACAGATGCATAAAGACAAATGTGTCTTGTTATTTGAATCCCTATTCACTATCTCTTGTTTCCTGGAATGTCTAGCAGAACTCTCCACACCCACACACAGAAACATGGGCACTATAAACACAAATGTCATCTCACACTTTAAGATACTGCAGTGGCAAGTTTCAGCAGATGTACAGAATGTGGCGGTTAGGACTCGACAGGCTGTAAAGTCATTTGTGGAGCAGACAACAATCCGAAGGGAATTCAAGCCAAGCCATGTTATCCGTGAAAGTAGCCATGGATGCTGCGGCCTGTGGCTCGCCTGCTCTTCTGTTTTTGTTTTCTGTGTAACACTACATGCAATGTTGAGTTTACTTTAAGAGCTTTGCCTTGGTCTGCAAAAATTTCATGACTCAGATTCAGCATTTGCATGTATTATTTTAGTCCAGCGTTACAGGTGCTGTTATCTGACAGTGTTTTACAAAGCAAAAACACAGACAGATATGATCTATATGTATACAAGTCAACTGCTAGTGTATATTGGGAATGTTGGGTAAGTTACTCTTAAAAAAGTAATTAATTACTAGCTACTTATTACATATTCAATGTAATTAGATTACTGTGGTAAATACTCTCTCAAAGTATTATTACTAATTACTAAATCCCATATCAACCTCAATCTGTTGAATAATACAAGGATAAACATGAAACTCCTCTTTTAATTCAAATAAATAATATACAATTATATAAAATATTCTTGAACTGACCAAGGTATTTAAAGAGAGAAGGTTACATTAAAAATATACACTTTAACATTAGATGTATTTTTTTTCAGCTAACTATTGAGTTTATGGATTTGGCATGTCTTTCCTGAGGTAATTAATGATACATGACATTATCGTTTTCAAGCATTATTGTTTACAAGTGATTACATGAGACATGATACATTTCAGTTAGATGTTCTGTTTCTTTCAGCATGATTTCTGATGTTTATTCATGTTTATTTGGTGCTATAACTAGTAGTCAAGTAGAAGAGATGATCGGTTCACATGTCGATTGAACTGAAGCTGCTACAGCGATCGGTCACGCCACATTAAAAAGCATCAAAACCATATTTACTGTTTGTATTTTGTGATAAAACTGACAGAATTTGAAAGATGAGATTTTGTCTCATATTAAAAGTAAAACACAAAGCTTAAGGCCGCGACACACCAAGCTGACTTCAAAGAATTATCGGCGACGAAAGCCGATGTTGTCGCCTCACGTCGGCAGCGTCGGACCAAAAAGCTGCGCTCGAACACACCGCACAGACTACAGCTGACGGCAAACTAACACGTGCGTTCTGCGCATGCGTGAGAGGAATCAACTGTCTATATCAGCAGCTATCAATAGTATATATTCGTCATTCAAAAGGAGAAACCGAAACAAAGATATACGAGATAAACGCTAATATACAAAACATAAACAAAGCAGCGCTTGCTTACCATTTTGAATATCAGTAACGTTTAATAACTTTAACTGCCCTCGGCTAAGAAGGAGCGCGTGTAATTTAATTGCTCCCTTCCTGCGTTTAAGTGCGAACTGTAGTTTCGATTGGAGGAATTGCCCTGCTATAGACTATTGGCTGTGCTAATTAGAAGGTGGCCACAGCTGTTTTCACTTT